TGGGTTCTCATCCCCAACTCAGAAGTACAGCCAGTCGTTGTTGATGGCGTCGGGTAACGGTATTCCCGGTATGTACGATCATGCCATGAGATTGGCCAATACCAGCTCGAAGCACTCGGTTAAATTGGTTTGGGTGATCAGAAGTTACAAGCCTCTTTCTTGGATGTACGAAGAGATGAAGAAGTTGGGTGACACCAAGGTTGAGACCATTATGTACGTCACCAGACCAGATGATTCTTTAGATTACACTAATGAGACTAATGCGTCAGACTCGGAAAACAAGTCTGGTGAAGGCAAGGATGAGGCAAATGAGAAGTCATGCTTGAGCAGGGTGCAAAGGTTACAGAAGGGTTTGCCACACATAGAGTTTAAGGAGGGCAGACCAGACATTGATTGTGTCATCAAGGAGGAATTCACGCAAGCTGGGGGTAGTGTTGCGGTTGTCGCTTGTGGTCACGATAGCATGGTTGATGCAATCAGATATGCGGTTGTGCACAACTTAGATGCCACTTCTCATCGTGTCGATTACTTTGAGGAATTGCAAGTTTGGGCATAAGCTGAACGTTAGAGTTATATATTTATAAAGTTTATTTATTTAATCAATTGCATAGAATTTTTGACGCTTTCAGAGACAGCCCTGGTTTTCTTTTTCTGCATACGGAGGTATCGGGGTGCGGCGAGGGTCCAGGCTGTGAATTTATCTAGGCAGGACTTCCGAACTGGCTATATTATATCTTAATTCGAGCATCCTTCAAAGCTAAATATTTTTTCCAGATTCATCATGCTTTGTGGTGCCGCTGATCGAATAGTGGATTATAGGAGAAAGTGTGTGTTTCCATTGGAAAAGGTACGGATGCATGCAAAATTTTTGCAGATTTTGTAGGCACTGACTCCGTGAGTCACGCGGTTATAAAACAATGCTACTTGGTGATCAAAAATAAATGAGACCTGAAAAACATTTACTTATGTTAAAAGCTTGTTTCTGGGCAAACAAGCATTTCTAAACCCAAGTTACGTGATGTGCGTTTGCATGCATAGACATCAGTGCATAAGGGATGTAGTTACGAGAGGTTCAAACTGGAAACTAGAATTCATTCCTCTTACGTATATAAATTCTCAAGAATTTCCACTGACCACCTCCTGTGCTTGTGTTAGATAATATGCCTATTCCTTTACCTATGATCTCTGCAAACCAAGGGCTTTGAAGCATGTAACAGTCTGCCCAATAGGCCATGCTTCTTGTATTCAGTCATTTCGCACGGAATATTTAAGAACCGATAGCCATGGTGCTCAAACTCCAGCTATAGACCAATATTTATACCTTGCTTTATTCCGTGGCCAGGTGGATGAAATAGTTCTAGACCAGACCTTCGATGGTTGGTTTAGATACACCCCAAACTTCGGGATGCCCTTAACATATCTAGTACAGGCGAAAGCTGGGTCCCTACCACCTCTAGCCTGAATCCGAAACCAACCAACCACCAGTCTCTTGTGTAGCTCTTTAACTGTTCCCCACTTTCCAACACGCGGTAATTCTGTCCATGAATATTTATTGCTGATGCTGGCGGAAATTCAAAGCTTGCACCAATTGGTGTGCGGCGGACTACAGATTTGGCATGCCGCAGCCAAATAAGCTTTTTTTTCGCGATCAAGACTCCAGGAAATCTGCTTTAGCCGCACAGCGTGAGCAAAAATGAGCAAATATTATCCAGATTCGGTATAAACCAGTGCATGCAAACTAAAAATTCGAATATGATTTAATATCCCACGGATGGATCTGCCTGCTATAAAATA